TTCATGCGGCTCCTCCTCACCCCCAGACCTGGGCAGCTCCCACTCCCATTCATCCTCAGCCTGGCCTCTCCCTGCCTTCCCCGCCCCCAGCCTCACCCTCCCTTTGCTCCAAACTCTTCTCCAACCTCCTTTCCTATAACCTCCCAACCCTAGGGAACTGGCCTTCCTTCCCCGACCCTTCTGCCCCTTGCAGACCTCCCCCTCCATCCCCCGCCTCCAGTCGCCGCCCTCTAGGCCCCTCCCCTAGAGTGCTGGAGGGCCCCTTACCCCGTGGATGGTCTGGAAGTCCTTGGAAAGGGAGAAGCCAGGGGGAAGCAGGTCTAAGACTGGCTGGGAAGAGACCCCTCCAGGCTTGCAGAGTCCATGTGGGATTTTAGAGGATCTGGTTTCCATGGGCAGGAGAGCCCCAGGGATTCCAGACAATTAGGAATGAAAAGCAGGCTGGTAAGATGTGGGGTAGTGTGGCGGGGAGGATCCAAAACCGAGCCCACCTTGAATTTTGTTGAGATATTAGGCTGGCTTGTAGAATCCCAGGGAACCCGGGAGACTACCCAGGCTGTCTGAGGGATCCTATTGGATATCTTGGAGCAGAAGGATTTCTGTGCGGGCTGAGAAGGGCCACTTAAGCATCTCAGGGGTGTCAGCCCTGGGAAGTTGAGAGCACAGTGGGTCATTAGAAATGGAGTTGATCTCGTCAGAGTATCCAGTTTTGAAAGGTCTGAATGACTAGTACCCATGAGAAAGAGAAAGGACAGAGGGAGAAAGAAAAGTGTGCTGTTTGCACCCTGCAATCTGGAGGTAAATCTGTGAGAGCATGGGGTGTTTGGGTAACAGGTATGAATTGGAAGCTCCCTGAGGTAATGCTGCAGCCATGAAGCCCTTTCCAGGAACCTTGGTTTGAGATGTTAGAGGAGGGGCCCCAGTGTGTCTCCTTCCAGGGCTTGGGAATAATAAGCAAGAGGGAATGTTAGAGGAGGAGGCCTTGAGTAGAGGGAGTGGCCCACTACTCAGGACACACGCTAGAGGGCTGACCTTCTTGTCTCGAGGGTAGAAATAGGAGCCCTGCCCCATCAGAGGTGCAGGGAGCTTGCGGCCAGGAATCTCTCAGGCCAGCTTCAGCAGGCCTCTCTGACTCTACCACCATCTGCCCACAGCCCTCGGCGTTGCTGACGCCCCCAATGTCGTC